CCTTTTTTTTTTTTTTTGGTTTGCTAAAGGAGACTGGGAAAAGAAGCGCCCTCCCCTTGGAAGCGGAGGGGTTTGAGCTCTCGCCTCTGACGCAGTTTTGCTCCCAGATATAAATAAAAACATAAATATATATATTATTATTATTGTTGTTTTCGAGTTAAACCAGCGCCTTGCGCAGCGTGAGAGCTTTTCGAGCAACTCGGCTCCGATTTTGCTTAAGACGATTAAAAATAAGCAGAAAAGTGCCGGAAGGGCTGGAGGGGGTGTCCGAGGGGCGATTTTTGGGGCTGTTTCTCCCGTTTTCTGGCCGATGTCCCGGTGGGCGCCTCGAAACTCCTGTCGAGAGGGGTGGTGGGGGTGAACGCTTTATTATTATTACTACTTTTAATTTATACCAGATTAAATTAGATTTTTCCCCTCCTCCCCTTTTTCATTATAAAAGCCGATTTTTGTTTAATTAAGTAAAGAAGCGGGGGCTGTGCTGGCACCGAGGGGGTGTCCCCCCCCCCTCTGGGGGGTGCTTGGCGAGGGGTGCAAATGGAATAATAAACTAAAAATAGAGGCAAAAAGGGAAAATAAATCAAAAATAGGGGGGAAAAAAAAAAAGCAAAGAAAAGTAAAAGTTGGTGTGGCCGGCGGGCAGCGTTGGGGGGGGCAGCCCCCCCCCCCAAATCCGGGGTAGTGTGTGTTTGTGTGTCTCCTCCCCCAGCCTCTCTTTTCACCTTATTTTTGAATTTTTTTTGGGAGGGGGGGGGCGGAGCCCGCGAGGAGGACACGGGACCCTCCCCCGCTCCCCCCCTGGCCCTGAAAGGCCGCTTTGTCCCCGGCGGGGCCGTGGGAGAGGGCCCGGCGGCACTTCCCCCTCAGCCTTTCCCGGGCGGGATGAAGGATTTAACCCCCACAGATAATAAAGGGGGTCGCGGGGTGTTCCCCCCCCCCTCCCCTTCCCGCTCGGACCCGCGGCCGCTCCCCCTCAGCCGCCCGCCCGCCCGCGCCGGGAGGGAGCGCGGGGGGAGCCTCGAAACGGCAGCGGGAGCGCCGGGGGCGGGGCGAGCGGGGGGAGCCTGGAAACTGCCGCCTGTTTACCCGCCGCTGAGCGACAGCCCGGCCAGCCAATGAAGAGGCGAGGGCAGGCGGCGGGCCCGCCCCCGCCGGGCCGAGAACAATGCGTGTTTCATGGCCCCGCCGCCGCCGTTTTTCCCTCCCCACCTCCCTTTACCCCCCGTTTCTTTTCCCCTCCCTCCCGCCCCGCGCTCGCGTTCTCTCCCCC